AACAAGTTTCATTGAGGACGTAGGGCCCCAAAAGGAACAAGTTCCATTGAGGACGCAGGGCCCCGAAAGGAACAAGTGACAGTGAGGATGCAGGGCCCCGAAAGGAACAAGTGACAGTGAGGATGCAGGGCCCCGAAAGGAACAAGTGCCAGTGAGGACGCAGGGCCCCGAAAGGAACAAGTGCCAGTGAGGACGCAGGGCCCCGAAAGGAACAAGTGCCAGTGAGGACGCAGGGCCCCGAAAGGAACAAGTGCCAGTGAGGACGCAGGGCCCCGAAAGGAACAAGTGCCAGTGAGGACGCAGGGCCTCGAAAGGAACAAGTGCCAGTGAGAACGCAGGGCCTCGAAAACGCTGGGCTCTGAAGGTGGGTGGATTGTGAGATCCCACATCGATTGAAGAGAAAAACGAGTGCCAGCGAGTACGCTGGGCCCCGAAGGTGGGTGGATTGTGAGATCCCACATTGATTGGAGAGGGGAACGAGTGCCAGCGAGAATGCTGAACCCCGAAAGGGAAAGTTCAAAGAAGATAATATCTGCTCGCAGTGGGCTTGGGCGGTTACATCTTCTTCCTCTGGTCATAGCCAGCTAAATCTTTCTATATCTTTTAAGATTTCAAATATCAATGATGTATGTTTTTAGTGAAGTATATTTTGGTTTTATGTTAAATTTACATGTTTTATCTATAAGTATTTCTACATCAATATATACACACATTTTATTTAAAAACAGAAAGTGTATGCAGCATGTGTGCATGTCCTACGTTTTAGAAATTGATGCATCGCCATGTCTGTGTTTGTGTTCGTGTCATGTCAGTCCATGCTTCTTAGATAGTAATTCATGGTTTTCCACGAACTCAAATGAGATAAACGATAGAAGGAAACGATCCGTGTACGTTAATAACAGTGTGCCTTTTTCTCACCTTATTCATTTTCTCTCTTGATTATCAGAAATAAAGGTGCTAGAAGCTGACATGCTAGACATGCCTTTCGGTGACGAGTGTTTTGACGTCGTTGTCGAGAAAGGAACCATGGTAACTACTCAACTTGCATTTTTGTTTTAACTCGAGATATTGGAACTTGCATTGGTTGTCTTAATTTACCATTTCGTCTGCTGTTCGTAACTTGGAAGGATGTCTTGTTCGTTGATGGCGGTGACCCGTGGAATCCTCAACCATCGACGCGATCGAAGGTCATGGCAATGCTCGAAGGTGTTCATAGGGTCTTGAAGAAAGATGGCATTTTTGTGTCAATTACATTTGGCCAGGTTTTATAATCAAATTCTTGGAACTCCTTGTCCTTGGATGTTACACTTCCTCGTTCTAATATGATTTGCTTTCTCTTCAGCCGCATTTCAGGCGCCCCTTATTCAATGCGCCCGAGTTTACTTGGTCGTTTGAGTGCAGTACTTTTGGCGATGGATTTCATTACTTCTTCTACACCTTGCGTAAGGTTAGCACGGATGTTTCGCCTTCAATTGCTTGTGTTGGGTCGGGTTGTTATTTTCGGGATAGGCCGTAGATGACTTATTTGATTAATATTGCACAAAGATGACGAGAACAATGACCACCGAGCTCTTCTAGGTCTGTCAAACTCACTCTCCTCACATTCTAGGCGAAAATACAAGATTAATGGCCACCAAACTCTTCGAGAGCCCTGAAACTCACTCTTGTTACATTCTAGGCCAAAATACAACAATAGTGGGCACCAATCTCGTCGAGAGTCCGTGAACTCGCTAACCTTATATTCTAGGCCAAAATACAAGATTAATGGCCACCAAACTCTTCGATAGCCCCTAAACTAACTCTCGATACATTCTAGGCCAACATACAACAACAGTGGGCACCAATCTCTTCGAGAGCCCGTGAACTCACTGGCCTTACATTCTAGGCGAAAATACAAGATTAATGGCTACCAAACTCTGTGAGAGCCTGAAACTCACTCATGTTACATTCTAGGCCAAAATACAAGACCAAACGAAATACTCGAACATGGGCTCCGTTGCTATCTGATCTACCCCTCCCCAACACTAATGCACAACACGTGTTCGCCCAGACACATTTAACTAACAACTGATTGCTCTTTGTTGCTTTTCTCCTGACAAGAAAAACGCGCCGATAGGCCTAGCATTCACATCCGTCGGTGTTCGTATTCCAAATGCTCCATAGTTACTTCTTTGTCTGAGTTTCAAAGCCAACCCTATTGCCTTATCAAAGATCTGGATTCATCAGCATAATAGAATCATAAATTATGAACCTTAAGTTAGGATTCCTGTATGCCCTTTTAGAGAGCCTAGTGGCTAGTTTAGACAAGGACCTGATTCCTTCTGTGAGCCATAGTTTGGACTTTCAACAACCCGGGTTCGGTTTTCTGTCAATCAAAAGTGTTCATAAACTCTCGGAAATATGGTTGTCTTCATGAATACTTTCAGTAATTCTCGACTTGATTATGCATCTTTCAACAATGGCAACAAAAGTTCGTGTATATCTTTCATTTCTAATGGTAAATGCAATCGCTATTACCAGGGAAGGCGATCGTCGGATGATATAGATGAAGTTGAGAGATCTGTGACACCGTCGATCTGTCTACTGCAAGACGAGCTAGAGGGTGAAGATTACATGTTCAGAACGGACGTCGATGAGCTGAATTGCTAGTAGTAGTAGTATTATCGTATCCGTTTTTGTTTAACGAATTGTACATCAAAATCAATCATAGTTTCACTGAGCTGTTATTCTGGCTGTTAGTTTTCCCCCCAAGTTTTGAATGGTTTAAGGCTTTATATATTGCTATTCATATTTGTACAGGTTCGTTCTTCAAATGGTGACCGTTTGACTCTGGCTTGGTTACACGTATCGGAGAATTTGAACTCCGACCTCTTGGCCGAGAGTATATGTCTAAATTATTTGAATTATACTTAGATTAACGGATACACGGAATTTACCAGTACGGCAGGACATGTGTCTTTTGGGACCAAAAAAAAAAAAAAAAAAAAAAAAAA